AAGTCTGATGCATCGGTGGTAAGGATAAAAGGGCGATCAAAATCGGGTAGGTGAAGAACCGGTGCACATGTCACCGCCTTCTTGAGGGCGCGGAAGGCGTTCTCGTGGAGGGGTGTCCAAGCCCAGGGTGGGTTCTTCCGGAGGAGGGTGGAGGTAAGGACGTAGAAATACCTAGCGTATCCCCGGATGAAATTACTATAGTAGTTGGTCAGGCCTAGGAAGCTGCGAAGCTGCTTGGCGGATGTGGGAGCGGGCCACTCCGCAATAGCAGTGATCTTCACGTCGTCCATGTGGAGACCTTGGTCAGACACGTAGTGTCCTAAGAAATCCACTTTGTGCTGGGCAAAGCGGCACTTGCTTAGCTTGGCGTAGAAGCCATGTCTGCGCAAGCGGTCAAGGACGTCGTGGAGGTGTCTGAGGTGCTCCTCAAGGGTACGACTGTAGACCAGGATATCGTTGAGGTAGACGAGAATGTACTGCTCCAGGATGTCCCTGAAGATGTCGTTCATCGCCCTCTGGAAGGTGGCGGGTCCATTGGTGAGATCGAATGGCATCACCGTAAACTCGTAGTGGCCGAAGCGCGATCGGAACGCTGTCTTTGGCTGGTCGGCTGCAGCGACGCGGATCTGATGGTAACCGCTACGAAGATCAATCTTCGTAAAGAAACGGTTGCCTGCTAGGCGGTCGAACAGCTCGTCGGAACGAGGCATGGGGTAGCTGTTCTTAACCGTGTAACGGTTGAGGCCACGATAGTCGATGCAGAGACGGAGAGTTCCATCCGCTTTACGAGCAAAGAGGACGGGTGCACCCCATGGGGAGTTGCTGGGTTTAATGAAACCCAGTCTCAGGAGCTCCTCAAGCTGACGCTTGAGTTCGGTGACCTCGGGGATCGAGAGTGTGTAGGGTGCCTGGTGGTGAACACGATAGTCAGGCACAAGCTGGATGGAGTGCTCGATGTCGCGCATCGGTGGGATGCCAGCGTACGAGAACGACGATGGGAAAACGTCGTGGTACTCTCGAATGAGGTCACGAACTGCGGGCTCCAAGTCGGCCGTATATCGTGCGAGTTCCTCAGTGTCAACGTCAGCGCGCGACGGCGGGGTGGACTTGACGGACCGCGGAGGGACGGAAGTAGAGATGGGAGCCATGGAGATGGAAGGAGGGTCTGGCTCCAAAGGGATGAGCTCGACGTCGGGACAGGGTGGGTCATAGTGTAAGAGATCCGTCACGTTCACCATAAAGAAGGTGACGTCGTCCTGTCTGATGAAGAGAGCGAACTGCCGAGGCGAGGTGACAGTGATAGAAGGAGATGGTGTGGGCACGAAAGGCTCCGGGGGAGGAGGATCGGGGCGTGGTCTCGCAGTGGTACCTATGAAAGGTACGCAATACGTCTGTCCACACTTTGTTTTGAGAACGAGATTGTTGGTCGCCCAATCGGCCTCGGTGCTGCGGAACCAGCGAGACCAAGGAGTGCCGAGAATGAAGTCGTACCCCGTCTCCATCACATCGAAATGTGCAGAGGAGCGGTGGCGACGAGACGCAGGGGAACGATCAGTCGGCTCGAGAGTGAGGAAGAAAGGGAGGTCGGTGACCGTCTGATCGAAAAAGCGCTGGGTCTTGTCATCCCCTAAGGTAACGGAGATGGGAGTCGGAGACCCTGTCATGGGTAAGCGGGCTTCTTTCACCACGCGTGGGTGAATGAAGTCGCCCTAAGAACCGGAATCCCACAGCGCTGAGTACACCCTCGTGGAGGTCCCGAGTCGTACTGGGATGATCGGGAGGGTGCGATCAAGGTCAGAGAGGATGGCGAGAAGGCGACGCAGTGCAGCAACATGGAGGGTGAGTCGTTCCTGACGAGCCTGGAGCATGCTCAAGTCCAGCCTGCTGAGATAAACTACACTGCTGATGAACGTGAGGTTCTCGCAGTAGTTTATGCCGTTCGGCACCGGCGTCACTACCTGCACGGGGCACCGTTCACGGTGCGTACGAACAACTCTGTTGTCCAGGCTTTTCTAACAAAACCGAAGTTCACTCCTCGACAGGCTCGTTGGTGGCGCGACCTATCCGAGTTTAGTTTCACCACTGAGCACATCAAGGGTGAGACTAATCGGGTCGCAGGTGCCTTATCCCGACGCCCAGACCACGACCAGGAGCAGATCCAGCTCTCTTCCATCTCGGTCACCACCGTCTACCACTCGGTGATCGACGAGTTTCGCACTCAGTACCGCCACTGCCCCAACTATCACGACATCCACGCGACCCTTCGGAGTGGCAAGACCGTCTCGAACTACTCTTTCTGGGACAACGGTCTCGTGTACTGGCACGATTCACAGGGCACCAGAGAGCCTCATATTTGTGTTCCCTCCACTGGACAGCTACATGTCCGAGCAGTAGCGGAGTTCCATGACCAGGCAGCCGCCGGTCATATGGGCTTCCATAAGACGTTGGCTCGTGTGAGCCGCCTGTACGTATGGCCGAAGTGCAAGGACTTTGTGAAGGACTACGTCGCAGAGTGTCCCACCTGTCAGGAGGTGAACAGTGCGAATCACCTTCCTTATGGTTTGATCCAGCCTCTTCCTATCCCTGAGGGTCGTTGGCAGTCCATCTCAATGGACTTTATCGGTCCCCTTCGTCCTTCGACCCCTCGCGGTCATGATGCTATCCTGGTCGTCGTCGAATGCTTTACGAAGCGTGCATACTTTGTTCCGTGCCGCTATGCCATCAGTGCCCGTGAGGTCGCCGACATCGTATTTGACCTAGTCGTGCGTGACCACGACTTACCTATGAGCATCATATATGACTGTGACCCGCGCTTTACCAGCCTATTCTGGCGACGGTTCCACGAGGTGTACGACACTCAGCTCCGCTTCTCCTCATCTTACCATCCTCAGACTGATGGTCAGACCGAGATCACGAACACGACTCTCAGAGATATTCTCCGAAAGATTGTTCGTGACGATCAGCAGTGGGATCTTCATCTTGCCCAAGTGGAGATAGCCTACAACCACGCCGTCTCGCCAGCCACGGGGATGTCGCCTTACTATTGCGACCTCGGCTATCACCCTCGTGTTCCTGCAGACTTCCTCCGACCGTCACAGATGCACCCCGACACGAGTTGTCCCGCGCTGGATGATTGGGTTGCACACATGACATTGATCATGAAGATCGCACATGAGCACATAGTCGCTTCCGAGACCCGCATGGCAGCACGTGCGAACCGATCGAGGATGGATCACCCATTCAAAGTCAGTGATGATGTGCTTATCGACGCCCGCCACTTACAGCTCAAAGCGGACATGCTTCGCAAGTTTCGGCGTCGCTTCTTTGGACCATGCCGCATCCTCCAGGCCGTCGGTTCTGATATGGCATCTAGCCCGGTCAGCTTCGGTGTGAAGCTGCCCGACTACCTGCGCCAGGCTCGTGTGCACGATGTCTACCACGTCTCATTACTGCGTCCTTACCGGAGACCGTCTGAGCGTTTCGTCGGACGACCATACGAGCGCCCTCCACCCATCATGGTGGACGGCCACGAGGAGTTCCTCGTTTTAGACATCATTGGTCGCCGAGTCACCGACGACAACCCTCCCCACGTCGAGTATCTCGTACGTTGGAAGGGTTATCCTGATGAGGAGGCTACCCGGGAGCCCCTTGAGCACTTGCAGCACGCTCGCATGTTGGTGCGTGCCTATGACCGTGCTCGTCGTGCTGGGTTCACCGCTCCTCCTCAGCCCGCTGACCCTCCTCCTTCTCCCCCGGCTGAGGAGACCGCTGAAGTCAAGCCTGCTCCATCTGAGGCAGACCTTCAGCAGCATCCGGATGCTTCCACAACGCACTCGTTGTCGTCCTGCTCAATACGACGATTGACTCTGACTTATCTTCCCACGTCTTTGACTTCTCCGTACTCCATCCACTCCAGTTTTGCTACTTCAGCTCGTCGACGTTGCGGCTCTTCCTCGACGGCATTCCGGACTTCTCATTGCGGACGTTATCGGCAGCTTCACGGACTTCGTCACGATCAGCTCTGCCTGCTTCAGAGGCCGTCACTCTCTTACCACTTTACCCTGTACAGTACCCTTGTTGTGTCGCATAATGGTCTCCCTTTAGTCGGGTTCCTCTGAGTTGGGCTCTCCATTGGTATACGCATAGGCATCGGGACCGTAGCGTTGCCCTGGCTTCCCATCTTACGGATCTAGCTCCGACTTCCCTCACTTTATGAGTCATTTGCATGATTCCCTTACCCATCACTCTTTCTACCCTCTGCCGGCCCTCACGCCCTAGTTAGGCGACCCCGCATGCTTCATCTAGGTGCGCCCAGTATACCAGGCTCCCTTGTTCCCTTGCATGGTCGAACCTCCATAGCGGTCACCCCTTTAGTCGAGCACTACCCGCCCTGATGGTCTATCTATTAGGGTCATTGGTTTTGTTCGCTCCCAGTTCCCTACCCTCATTGAGCCTGATGACATGTGTCTCCCTGTTATCTATGTATGGATGCCCTTAGGAGTTTTCGACCTCTAGGCTGCATTCCCCACCCTCAGAGACCATCCCATCCTTTGGTTTGCGACACACTCCTCCTGTGACATATGGTTGTTTTGTTGATTGCTTTGTTGCTCTTAGACTGAGGCTACTGCCTCTCACATCTCTAAGCCTTAGTTGTTCTGCTCTTGCTGTTCTTAGGACTTATACACTAGTCAGTTGTTCCCAGACTAAGGATACTGCCTCCAACATTCTAGGATCTAGTTGTCACTACTTTCTGCTTTCCTAGGACATGTATGTCAGTTAGTTGTTTCTGCTTTCCTAGGACATGTATGCTTGTTAGTTGCTTCTGCTCTTACTTAGGTTGTTAGCCATGACATTGTTGTTTTGTGACATTTTATATCCTAGGTTGCATCGCATGGACTCARCATGGAGCTTGCTCCGCATCCTAGACGACTCAGGTTTTCTTTTTCTTTGGTAGAGTTCCGCTTTTTGGCGGAAGCGTGTTTGCATCTAGGCGATCCATCACAGGTCGAGGATCGTGTAGCGGACCTCTGGTTGGCCTGTGAGACCAGCCCCTTGGCCTGTTCTCACAGGCCTGTGTTCTATTCGGGGGCAGTCCAGTCCAGTCCAGGCCGGTGCCTCTGTCGGTACCAGCCAGTCCTGTCCAGTCTAGTCAGTCCGCTGGGGTATACCCCAGCAGTCGTCTGTTTCGTCATCATTCTTCACTTGCACATTTTGGAGTACGTGCGCTGGAGTCTTGCGTGGGGAGCTGCGCTGTGCATCTTGCTCCCCCTTCTTCCTCCATCTCATTCTCTATCACTAGTGGAGCACCACACCCGGTGGGTCCGCTACAATAGTGCAGTTGGCCACTAGTGTATCTCCCAAATAGGGACAAGCGGCATCTTTCGGAATATTTTGTGCAGGCATCACTGATACATCTTTCTATGATACTCGCCTGCTCCTTAGTGCAGTCGCTGAAGGATATCATAATCCCTAGGTATCTCTCGGAATCTGAACTTGGAGTGCTCTTAATGCCCAGAGTCAGTGCCAATGGTGAGTTATTTAATGTTACTGCAGTCAATTTATTCCAGTTTACTTTCATTTCTGACTCAATTCAGACGCCTTTTCATAGATCGTAAGCACTGCTTAAACCACCAGCCAGTACTTGGCCCAACTATAGGCCGCGAAAAAAAATAGAGTAGAAACGTTTCTCATTGCAATGGATGAATTTGGGCGCTCCTGTAGTGGCCCGTACGTTTCCTAAAATCGCGCAGCGTTAACGGGCACTACTTTAGGAAGTACTGGTGGTTTACGGGCCTGCAGTGATGAGGTAGAGTTGTCTGTTACGGCTGAAAAGTCGTCAGCTCGCGCTGAGACCTTGAGCTCATAGCGTGCTGAGATTCTAAGACCCTTATCTTGAGGGTGAGCCTTAAGTTTATCATGTTGAGTAAGATCTCCATTTGGTCCAGGATAACAAGTAGCGAGGGAGCAAGTGGGCATCCCTGCAGAAGGGATCGGATTACCATCATGAATGGTTGAGACAACTTGAGAGAGAGAACACCATTCACTACCGCTCTCCCATGAGATCCGTGCTAAAGAATCACTAGTGGCCAACTGCACTATACTCTCTTCTTGATGGTATATATTATCAATCCGATCTATTCTTCCAGCCGTACCATTTGGTTTAACCCCATCTTCTGAAATTACGCCCTTAGCTAGAGACTTACTCTTTCAAGAACAGCCCAGACGAATTCCCAGTTTACTCGATCATACGCTTTTTGGAAGTCTATTAGAACTATTGCTGCATTTGAGAAAGAGGTTTTGATTAAGTCGATGGCATGGCCTGACTGATCATGAAGACTTTGTCAAGGACCAGCCTTCCCGGAACAAATCCAGATTGCTCTGGGGCAACTCGTTTGTTCATAAGCCTAGGGGGATACTCGGCGTCTTGCCAAAGTCTTAGCTAAGATCTTACCGACCACATTGAGGAGGGATATCGGTCAGTAGTTCCTAATGTCTGGTGATTGATCCCCTTTCTTGTAGAGAAGAGTGATTACTCCTTTCGTGGTGCGCGTGCCCGATCGGTTACTGGTCAGGATCATGCCGTTGAAGATTCTGAGCAGGCACGTCTGGGCCCAACAGGGACCAGTACTGGTCATAGTAGAATTCAACGGGGAAGTCGTCCGGGCCTGGGCATTTTCCCCTTGCCATGCTTCTCATAGCGGCTGTAAGTTCTGACCATGTACGTGATAAGTTGATACAATTCCTCTTCTTAAAGTGCCGTCAAATAATAGGCCTCACTGCACTACTCTCGAAATGTGCAAAACGAGAGTGTCACTAAATCTTCTGCTAGAATATGGAACAATGCACCACCATGATTTTTGTCTTTTGTGCATGTCGAGAGTAGTGCAGCGACGCCCAATTTCTGCTGGTGGATTCCCATACTGGCATCTTGTCTTCCATGTCGGGGGGAAGAATCAGGTCATCCGGATTCTTTTCCGATGTTAATAATTTTTCATAAAATAGTTTGACATATTCACAGATTGTAGTAGAGGGTCTCGCTCCACTATTGTCCGCTATACACAATTTTGTATAGTTGTCGTATAGCTGTCAGACCGAGAAAAAAGGTATAGAACCCTGCGTCGCTCCACTTACTATCTACTATACAAAGTCTCCAGTTTCTGAGTTCACTACGCAACACCCTAACATCACTAGAAGACAGCAATTTGTCCGTCTAGACTTGAGGTTCACCATACAAAAACGCGGCGGGTCCGAGGTTTCCTTCGAGGAGTATCCGAGTAATGACTTTTGCAGGCTGGGAACTATACACCGACGGAGAGTGCAATCTCCGATCGATATCTGACAGCTATCCAAGCAATTTTGCCCCTGTATAGTATACAATAAGTGGAGCGATGTCGAATTCTCCAAATTCGGAGAGTGTATAGTAGTGGAGCGAAACCCAGAGTCTTGCGCCCTTGGGGCGGATGGATCAAAGGGGTTGGATAAATCCGTCATGATCTTAGTTGTTTTATCGTCCTCTTTCCTGGTTGCAAAGGTGTTGGTATTCATTCGGTCTCAATGAAGGATGTTTTCTATGCACTTGAATCGTGCCCATGAATCTTGTTTGCTTAATATCTTAATGTCTTGCCATTCCTGTAGCCATTGTGGCCTATGGAGAAGCCAGTGACTGTCTGAGAAGGATGAGTAACCCATATTATTCCTTTCCGCTCGGTCAACATTTATTTTCAGTTTAATTTCGTCGTATGTTTTATTGACTGCTTTAATTCTTGATATTATGGTCTATAGGAAGGCTGGTCACCTATGGAGGTGACCGCAAATGCCCTATTTCATTTTTCGTATTTTCTTCGAAAATTGGCAAAAATTCGTTCACAAAAGTTCTTGCACAATTTCTGGATGGCGCTATGTGACCAGCCGAGTACCAGATCCCCATTTCTCTAGACGGCCGCAACCTTGTCCCATCTGAAAAGGTACAGCAGTGTGACGTGAACCACGCCCAAAACCTCAAATCGACCCTTGAGGTCGCCATGTGAGTATGCCCTGAGTATGCCCTGAGTGTGGATGGTTTGATTTGAGCAGTGTGAATGGTTTACTATAGGAGTAACTGTTGTCTTCAACAATAGAGAGAAGGTTAATAACAATCGTATTTTTCATCACCACTTCAGGATGCAGTCTGCCTAAAAAAATGGTTTTCAGGGTCTTTGGACCTTTCACCACTTCAGGACTATTCAGGTATGAAAATCATGAATGGTCCTGAAGTGGTGAAAGCTCTGAAGACCCTGAAAACCACCTGTTTAGGCAGGCTGCATCCTTAAGTGGTGAAGGGTGGTTTTCATGGTCTTCGGACCTTTCACCACTTCAGGACCATTCACGATTTTCAGACTGCCCAAAACTCTCACTTGACCACTTCAGGACACCCTTCACCACTTCAGGATGCAGCCTGCCTAAACAGGTGGTTTCCAGGGTCTTCGGACCTTTCACCACTTTATGACCATTCAGGATTTTCAGACTGCCCCAAACGCTCACTTCAGAATTTTCATTCTTGAATTTTCACCTACCCGATAACCGCTTGTGCAACAACAACAATATGCCCTATTTGTAGAAGGTCGCATGGAACAAGGTGATTCAGGGTCTTGCTCCACTACCCACCACATGCACAAAAGACAAAAAATGTGTAGAAAAGTCATAAAACCTCCAGGGGGCGAAACCTTTGTATTCATTTGACCCCAGCTTGAGCAAAAAGTGTTGCAGGCCTCGTGGGCGTCATTTTTGCGCCCGGTAAAACACTGTCCCTCCATATTTGCACAGCAGGCTAACAAGGGGCAAAAATGACGGAAAAAATCATTTTTGGGCCTGCGGCACTTTCGCCCAAGCTGGGGAGAAGTGAATACAAAGGTTTCGTCGCGGGGAGGTTTTATAGCTTTTCCCAAAAATGTGGCAGTGTACCTTCACATGTTTTACTCAAAGATTGGTTCCCATTGTGCACATTTGAGGTCCTCGAGAAAAGAAGAACGGGGAACTCGAATTGCCAGACTCGGACCCTAGCCTGCAGATAGAGGGACTTCTCTCTAAATGGCCAGTTAGACTGCTTTTGGCACTAGACGGGCCCACCTGGAAAGCTTCAGCCCTTTGTGACGCCCAAACTTCGTGATCAAAGTGGGATGGGGGCCCCGAAGTGCGA